TCCTGCTTTGAAGGAGCTGTGGTTTAGTTGGGAGACAAGACCTACGCTCCTCGAATTTAAATGATACGCGATTTAAAGCTCAATTCGAGACCGTGATACGGGAACCGTCGCGTAGGGATTCAGGCCAGGACGGCCAGGAGCGACTCCGTCAGAGAACGAAGTGCAAGACGACGTTGGCATTGTGGCAGCATGAGTTGTTCCTTTCTTCTCTCTTTCAATTTTCAAATAACTGGATACCTGTAACCAAAAAGCGCGCCTCAACAAGCCTCCTAGGACTCCCGAGAGATCCGCCTGTGTACACACCTGACCTCGGGCGGACTAGGCCACAGGAGCGGCTGCAGAGAAGGTGGCGGCCCCGTGGGCCAGCGCGACCCTCTGGCAGAGGGAGAGAGGGCAAAGGCAAAGGGGGTTGGTGCAGCCGTGCGTGCTGCGGCTGAAGAGCTCTGCCGCTGTCCGCGGAGAGACCACAGTGACGGAGGAAGAGGAGAGCGAAGTGGGCAGGCACAGAACCGAAGGAAAGCGCCCGGGATTCTGGCAAGAGGTCGCCCGCGGACCGCTGGGCCCCCCTGTTGGGCCGTGGGCACACCTGAAGACCAGGTGCGGAGCACACAATTCCCCCCACTCTGCTACAACAATTTTTTTCTTCCAGCTGATTTTTTTTTTTTTTTTTAATATACTCCCAACCTTAGTTGAGTCTCAGCTCTGGTTAGAGAAACCAAAAGCTTGTTGCTCTAGCACCACCTTCTGGTAAACAAAAGGAAGGCTTCTAATCACGGACCCATGGCACTGTTGGAATCAAAATAAATAAGTTCTTGCCTGTCCATATAAGAAATGTGTTTGCACCTTCAGATGCAGCAGCAGAGGCACTTTTCATCAGACACCATGAAAAGTTTTGATAGCACAATGTCACAAAAAGAAAATGGCAATTTTCCAGCAACCAAACCTAGAGACACAGAGTATTGCCGTTTAACTGATAAAGAATTCAAAATAGCCGTTATGAAGAAATTCAGCAAGCTACAAGAAAACTCAGAAAAGCAATACAGTCATCTCAGGAATAAAATTAACAAATAGGGGAAGTAATTTATCAAAGAGATTGAAATCCTAAGAAAGAATGAAGCAAATTCTAGAACCAAAGAACTCAGTGAACAAGTTGAAGAATGCATTGGAGATAAAACAGGTCAGATGGAAGAGAGAATTAGTGAGCTAGAAGATAGGAATTTAGAAATGATGAAGTTTGAAGAACTAATATTTTTGAAAAGTGAAAAAACCTTATGAGAGCTATCGGACACCATTTGAAAAGCCAGCATTAAAATAATGGGTATTCCAGGAAGAGAAGCATTCGGCATTTAAATACCAAAACCAGATAAGGATACCACAACAAAAGAAAACCGTAGACAAATATCTCTGGTGAATATAGATGCAAAAATTCTCAACAAAATGCTAGCAAACCAAATTCAAGAACACAGTAAAAGGATTATACCCTATGACTAAATGTGATTTATCCCTGAAATGCAAGGATGGCTCAGTCTACACAAATCAATAAATGTAATACATCACATCATTGAATTAAAAATCTCATGATCTCAATAGATGCAGAAAAAGCATTTGACAAAATACAGCATCCTTTTACGATCAAACCCCTGAAAAGGCTGGGTATTGAACAAACATACCTCAACCCAGTAAAGGCCATATACAACAAATCCACAGCCACCATCATACTCAATGGAGAAAAATTGAAAGAGTTTTCTCTAAAATCAGTAACAGGATAAGGATGCCCACTGTCATCGTTCCTATTTAGTATGGTACTAGAAGTCTTAGCTGAGGCAGTCAGGCAAGACAAAGAAAAAGGCATCCAGATTTGGAAAAGGAGAGGTAATATTGTTGCTTTTGCTGATGATATGATCTTATGGTTGGAATTAATGATTTCAGTAAAGTGGCAGGATACAAAATCAACATATAGAAATCAATTGCATTCGTTCACCCTAATGATGAAGCATCTGAAAAAGAAAACCATCCCATTCACAGTAGCATCAAAAACAATGAAATACTTAGGAATAGATTTAAACAAGAAAGTGAAAGATCCATACAACAAGAACGACAAGACTTTACTGAAAGAAATCAAAGAAGACAGTAGCAAATGGAAAGAGACATCTTGTGTTCTTGGATAAAAAGAGTTAATATCAAAATGTCCATTCTACCCAAAGCCATCTATAGATTCAATGCAAGCCCCATCAAAACACCAAAGGCATTTTTCCAGAAACAGAAAAAGCAATCCTAAAATTTGTGTGAAACCGCAAAAGACCCCGAATAGCCAAAGCAATCCTGAGAAAAAAGGACAAAGCTGGACGTATCACACTTCTGGATTTCAAACTATACTACAAAGCCATAGTAATAAAAACAGTATGAGGCACGAAAATAGATAAATCGACCAATGGAACAGAGTAGAGAGCCCGGAAGTAAATCCTGGCATAGATAGTCAACTAATATTTGACAAGGGAGCCAAGAATACCCAACAGGGAAAGGGTAGTTTCTTTAACAAATGGTGCCGGGAAAATGGAAGAAACACATGAAATGATGCTCAACATCACTAATCATAGAAATGCAAATCAAACCACAATAGTGAGATATCACCTCACACCTGTTAGAATGGGTATCATCAGGAAGACGAGAGACAGTAGGAGCTGGTGAGGATGTGGTGAACAGAGAACCCTCATACATTGTTGGCGGAAATGTAAATTGGTCCACCCACTATGAAAAACAATATGGAGGTTCCTCAAAAAATTAAAAATAGATCTGCCATACAGTTTAGCAATTCTGCTTCTGGGTATATACCCAAAGGAACTGAAAACAGGATTTTGACGAGATAAATGCACTCCGACGATTATAGCAGCATTATTCATAATAGCCAAGGTATGGGGACAGCCCAAATGCCCATCAACAGATGATAAAAAAAGGCGGCAGAATATTATTCAGCCATGAGAAAGGAGGCTATCCTCCCAGGAGTGACAACGTAGGTGGACCTCGAGCACAGTATGCTAAGCAAGATAAGTCAAAGAAAGTCTAGTATGATACCACTTACATGTGGAATCTAGAAAAGTTAAACCTGTGAAAAACAGTGACATGAGGGTAACCAGGGGATGAGGTTGAGGAAGAAGTGTGATGATGTTTAAGGGTATAAACTTGTAACAAGTGGTAAATAAGCCATAGGTGTAACGCATAGTCTAATGACTATGCAGAATATTGTACTGTAATTAAGTAAGGTGATAAATACTGCTGCATCAGCGATCATATTACATATCAAAGTGACACTATCTACCTTAAACTCACAAAATATTACATGTCAGGTTTATTCAATGAATAAGTAAAAGTACAGGTATCCCAAACAAGTGGCGTGAGAACAGCGAAAAGGTGGGAAATGGCAAAGTTAGGGGACAGGTAAGAATACGTGACCCGATTATGTTGCCGCAGATACCTGAGGAGCTACAGCATTCCGGCTTTGAAAAGAAAGTGCATATCCTGGACAAATACTACGTCATCCTCGGAAGAAGACAGGCACAACCACAAGGCAGGTGCCGGCCAAGCCTCGCAAGGTAACGGAACGCCCGTCGCAGTGGGAGAAAAGGAACTGTTAGGAAGCCGCCCCTTTCTCTTTCTCTTTCATTTCTTGACTTTAGTTATTTCATTCGAATCACAAATAATCCCAGTTTGCTATTCCTCTTTATGGCCCATAGGTTTTTACTTGTCAGTTACAAAGTATCTTTCAGTTTCCTGTTGGGAATTTTTTTTTCGCACTTGTCACATTTACGGGGCTTCTCAGCAGTGTGGATTTTCTGATGCATGAAAAGATCTGCTCGCTCAGAGAAGAATTCCTTACACATGGGGCACTTGTAGATCATTTCTCCTATTTGGTATCATGACTTAGAGGAGAAAATTTCCTTACAGCTACCGTAGTTACAGGGTTGCTAGTTCATCCAGCCTCTCATTTGGCCATTCTGGCAGCTCGTCTCAGGC